CGAACCGAACCGTGAATTTTGTGTATCGTTGCACCCCTAATAATAATTTGAACTGAATTTAATTTTCTGTCAGAGAACCATGGCCTCAGACTTGATTCCCACCCCTGTTGCTTCACACTCAACTGTAAACCACCCCAAAGCAAACAGGGGCCATCCCCTGACGGAGCCAAAGGAACCACATAATCTGCAAAAAGCTGAGATGACATCTTGAGACCCTCCACCCTTTGGCTGTTCCTAGAAATTCTGACCATAAAAGTCATGACCAGAATTGGTGGCGCAACTGGACCGGAAGGTTTCATCAGTGTGAATCCTGTGCCACAACACTTTTACCGCATAAGAGTTACAAGTTTGTTACGAATTTTGCCTGTGGCTGTAACAGTCAGTGGTGAATTCCTTTATTCTTTGTCAATGTGGCTTTCATAACAGCTGCTGTGTTTAATTGGTAATATCAGCGGCTGCTGTTTCAAATCTGGCTTTCCTAAGAATCATATAAGATGAGACTTTTACGCATGTGTCATTTATGCAGATCCTACATCATGAGTCATCCTCATGGCACGAAACGTGTCCCTTCAGCTGTGAATGTTTCTCCTTTCCTTATAGTTGAAACAGGAACAGTGATTTATTGAAGCATGTGCAAAAACATGTAAATACAAGCATATAAGGGAAAAACAGTTTATACCATGCTAACGAGCTGAAAGTCAGTATTTGGTGTGACCACCTTTATTCTTCAGCACAGTCTGAACTCTCTTAGGCAGCTTTCTTGTCATGTCTTTAAGTAGTCTTCAGGAATAGTTCTCCAGGCTTCTTGAAGGACATTCAAAGATCTTCTTTGGATGTTTCTGCCTTTTGTTCTGTTCTCTGTCAACATGATCCCACACTGCTTCAATAATGTTGAGGTCCGGACTCTGGGGAGGCCGATCCATGACTGATAGAGCTCCACTGTGTGTTTTTCTGTCCAGGTATTTATTGCATTGGCAGTGTGTTTGGGATTATTGTGATGATCAGTGCTTGATTTTTTCCTTCCTTAAGGACATTTTTTCCCCAGACACTCTTCATCTGCTCTAGATATATATTTTTTTGCCCGATACCTCTTGTTTTGTCCTCCGCTTGTCCCGTCGCTTCAAATTTTTAAAGACTCCACAGTACATAGGTCACTTTTATCACATGCCCTGAGGGATGTGATATACTGATAGCCTTTTCTTATCTTAGCAACCACATTTTGATAGACGTGACCAAGGGACTCTCATTCAAATGAAGTCAGATTAACAGAAGGGAGTGCACTTCTGAAAGAGACTTTGGATAATGAAGGCCTTGAATTATTACCGTGCCCTGAATTACAAACAGACGATAATAAAGATAATCAGCATCTCCCTGAAATAGCCTTTGAATTAAAACTCCATTTACACCTCAAGAAATTTAATCAGTGCGAGTTCTTCCACGTGTCTGCTCGTACCCACCTGTTTGTAGAGGGTCCTCAGCTCTCTGTACTGCCACAGGGTGTTCAGCACCTGAGCAGCTGCCTTCACAACCTTCATCGAATATCTGTGACACACACAGTATGTAACATAAAATGAGTTAAACCAGTTAAGGAGTGCCTGATTTTCTGTCACCCATCACCTGTCACAGTGGTAGATGTTCATTATAAACGTAGCGAAATGAGTTCAATAATAAAACATGGAGGTGGTCACGTCTTACCCTTTCCCTCGACCTTTGCTGATATCCACCAGTTTCTCTATGCCTCCGCTGTCGGCTAAAGCTTTGGCGTTCTCCATGTTGCGGCTGATGACTTCATGCAGCGTGCAACAGACCGATGCCACCGTGTCGTCTGACAGCACAGTGGGACTGCCGCCAGGCAACCGGTTCACCAGATCCCGCATGGCGTACTTTCCTGCAGGTGGAGAGACAGACAGAACAGAAGGTCTGGATCTGCTCTTAGTGGATTAACAAACAAGTTTAACAAACAAGAACTGGTGGCACAAGTTTGAATTTAAGTTGGAGAATTGTAGATTTAGAAAAGTTGGGAAGGTCTCTTTGAGCCATTTCTAAACAACTGCAGATTCCAAGATCATCAGATCAAACAATAATAAGTACATGTAATTCAGACGTGTCACCAATTTGCCAGAAGAAGACAAGATGACTCCAGGGCTCAAACCTGCCATGAACTGAAAACATCTGGAACACCAGTGGAGTGAGTTTTACATTACCATGGACTTAAAGGGTGTTGATCAAGAAAGAAGGCCCTGCTCCAATATAGACGAGCCAAATACCTTCTGGAGAAACGCTTTATAGTCAGAGAAGACAAAGATTGAGCTTTTTGGTCAAAATGACAAGATGTATATTTAGAGGAGTAAAGGTACGGCTCTCAAAACCTGAGAACACTGTACCAGCCGCCAAGCATGGTGGTGGTACCATCATGCTCTGGGGCTGTTTTGCTGTGGCACTTTGCACAAAATTGATGGAATAATGAAGGAGGAGGACTACCTCCAAAATCTTGAACCTCACCTCTAATCAGCAGCTTCCAACAAATTGAAATGTGGACACAGTTGGATGTTACAGCAGGACAACGATCCCAAACACACATCACAGCTGGTTTTCGAGTGGATAAAGCAGGCTAGCATTAAGCTTCAGGAATGGCCTTCCCAAAGTCTTACATATATTTAAGTATATGTTTGAACCTGTATGGATGTATACTTCTGAAATTTGTGCACCCACTTCAGGATTTCATTAACACTGAACATGTGTAAATGTGTAACAGTGCTGTTTGTTTGCAGGCAGAGTATTAAGAGATGTTTAGTTTTGCTGAATCAGTTTTAGTGGCTGTCTTTCGTTCCTTTTACTGCAGCTCTATTCTTGGGTTGTGGCATCTTGCCACGACCCAAGAATGACTGTTCACAGGTAAGTTTTAGGTGTTCACCCTTCCCAGGAGCAGCATTTAGGCATTAACTCTACTTTAACTGTAATTTGTTTGCAGATAGGAGAGGGCACAAATGTAGGATTGTGTCACCACTAGGGGGCAACGTAATGTCAAAGACTGAGTAGAGTGAATGCACTTTATGTGCTGGCTTTGAATAAACAGTTGAGGGGTGTGTGTGTGTACCTATCAGTTCCTTGTTGCGGCTGTCCAATGCCATGTTACGCAGAGCGGTGGCGACGGAGCAGACCACCCGGTCGTTGTCCATCCTCAGCAGCTCCACCAGGATGGGAAGGCCCTTCTCCTTACGGACCGCTGCTCGGATGTAGGCTGAGAACTGCAAAAAAAGAAACAGAGTTTTAAATGCCCCGAAAGGAGTCAAATATTGTTTTTCCCCATCAGAATCCTACTGTGACAAACACAAGACTTGACCTGCGATGTCTCTGTTTGTATTCACTGGAGGTTTGAAGTTGGCAGAATAGGACTGAGATGAAAGCTGATGGCTTGTTCTGATGTTCCAAAGAAACAGTTCAGAAAGTCTGGAGAACTATTGCTCAAGAGCGCTTTATAATGGACAAACAAGTCTGGCTGCTTGGTGGCTCAAGACTTTTCCACAGTGCTGTCTATAATTAGGAAAATCTGCACCTTGTGTTAGCCGTAGACGAGGTCTTACCTTCCAGTTTCCTGCAGAGAGGTTCTGCAGGGACCCGGCAGCGCCCTCCAGGGTGGCGGGGTTGGAGCTTTCAGCCAGCAGGTTGAGGTACGGCTTCACCACCATCGGGTGCCACAGCAGCTCTGCTCCTCTCAGAGACTGGGAGAAACCCGGGACTGTCCCGACGCCGTCCCACTGCGACAAACGCACCAATCAAAGGCACAGAAAGTGAAGTCGAGTTTGTATAATTGGGAGTGCTTAAACTGCTTAAAGGGCAATTCCTCTAAGGGTTGCTTGATCCAGGAGAGGGAAAATTTTATTTACATAAACATCTTTAAATAAAAACAAGCACTTAAAACCAGCTTAGAATCAATAACTAACCCACGGAGCAGCCAATTCATTGCTCTTTATCCAAATTATACAATGATTCAGTTCAGATGGCTGTAAACAGAATATATTTGTGGAAAAATGACCTTCATTTTCCCTTATTTGCTTCCATCTTTCCTTCCTTTCTTTCAGGGTTCATTTCAGAGTTTTTGATTTCTCGTTATGATTTGTATAACCTAATCAACCAATCAGTAAAGAAGCTGTTCCCATGATGAGTCTCCATAGCAGATCGTCTGCCTCCGTCTCATCCTGTCTCTATCATCTTCCTCTGTCACACCAACTATGAAGCAATCCATGAAGCTTCTCTATGGTCTTCCTCTTTATTGCCTGCCTGGCAGCTAAGGACTTTTGAGGATTTCAGTTTTCAGTTTAAATCTAGAGCTACAAGGACCCGTCATGGCTCATATTTGCTTTCACTTGCTGATGAATACAGAGGACAGCAAACCTTACAGCTGTGCAGTTGCCCAGTTTTCCTGTCGGGATAAATTATATGAAGGCAAAAGGTGAGATTTTTGTGGTTTCTGTTGTGGATCAGTCCCACTGCATTCAGGTAAAGAGTCCGTTTGGAGGGCAAAAGGTTTGAATATTCTGAAGAAATAAAACACCATCCAATAGCTTTTTAGAGATCTATCTGCACTCTGACCCCAGCAGACAGATCAGGGTACATTTTTGACTGCGCCAGGTATAAACTGGAGGGTTCCCTGAGATCACAGACTAGTTTTTGAGTTCTCAGATTGCTCAACAGGTAACTGCTCTTCTACACATCTTGTATATTTTTAGTACTTTTAAAGCACATAAACATCTTTTCATGCTTTAAAAGTACGCCTGTAAATGGTCTCAGTCATACCTTGGAGTCGGGCCAGCCGCCTCTCTTCCTGCCACGCCTCCTCTTGCCCCAGCAGAGGTAATCCAGCTCCTTGGCTGGGGAGGAGAACCCCAGCAGGGTGTCCAGCTCCTGGTTGCCGAGGAGACGAGAGGAGGGCATCTCCATCTCCAGGCGGTACGAAAGGTTCCTCAGGGTGCACACGCTGTTCTCCACTATCTGAAAGTAAAAATGAGAACTGAGCATTTCTTTGTTTCTGCCTCTTCTTCTGTGTTTCCTGCTAATGAAACCTGATGGTGGTGCTAGAGGAAAGTTTTCACATAAAATCTAACATTAGACATCTGCTCTGCGGAGCTCTTGTTTCAGCCTGTGGATGGTGCAAAAGGTTTATTTCTGTTATATGACGTTTTGTCTGTGCAAGTAGTTTAGAAATTTCAGACCACTGACATCGATGTTTTATTGCTTAAGCTATTTATTTCTCTTTGTTAGCTAAGGTGGCTGGGACACTACATGCTCTTCTTGTTTGCATGATGATGATATTATGCCACATGTCTGCAACACTTCTGTGCTGTAGTTGTATTTTCTGTACTGAACATGTGATGCCCTTGGATCTTTCCCCAATTTGCTTGTTATCGTGTTTTAGAGGTTCAAGCTTTATATTAACTTTTAATATCATTATTAAAGGTCAGCGTCTTTTATTTTCACATCAATGAATCTTTTGTGAACTACAGATGATCATTAAGCCTATACAGCTATATATATAAATATAATTTTTTTACTTGGTGGTGTAATACAAGATAGCCACAAACACCTACGTTTGATTCTTGAAACACATATTTCTGTTCCTAGGTTTTCAATTATAGGAACTATTACTACAGAGATAGTAGGAGATGTGCAGTGTTGTGTTTTGCAGCCCTGATTGCTGGTTCTGACACAAACTACCAAATATGTTTCCAGGAAATCATGCACAACATTAAACACAGTGTTTACACTGTTACTGTCAAACACAGAAGAATGCTCGGCACACGAGGTAGGATTAGTTCCAGTATTATATTAGCTAAGATTACCTTGTTATTATGAGGTTTCCACCAAACGTCAGTGTTTAAACATTCAAATGTATATATATATATTACCATTTTATTGCTAGCAGGCTATTATTTTTGTTACTATAACTACTACTATTACTATAGATCTGTTTGTTTCCACATTAGGTCAGTGTAATATTGCTCAGCTATAAGAAGATAAGCGATATTTAAGACTATTATTGAATATTGCTTTGGATTTTAGATATACAGAAGTAAAACTGTGGGTCACTGTTTAAGTACTTATGGATCTATTTGTGAAGTGTTGAAGGGTTATCAACTGAAGATGAACACAGGCCAGGGTTCACTTCCATGCAATATCAATTTGTACCACAGGATGGTGCAACTGAGTCAAGTTAGCATTTAAAAAGATTTGCCTAAATTTCAATACATTATTGTATTAATAATTTAAAATCAGGTGGTGCCTAAAAACAAACAGCAAATGCTAAACATCAGCACACCCCTGAAAACATTTCATCACACCCACTGGTAGAACGTTGCACCCTGGTGGTCAAAATTGTAGTTGAATTTATGAATGCGTAACATCTAAACACATGTATAGTACATTTATGTGGCCTGGCCACGTACAATCACATATAATGGTAACTAAGTAACTGTGACGACCACTTATTGTACACTACTTAATAGGTCAAAAGTCATGTTTTAGTAGGAGAATTTGTCAGAAAAAATAACTTTTGACTTGCCTCAAATCTTGAGCAGCAAGCAGTTAGAGGTCTCTGTCTAATTAAATACTCCACATATAACAAAAAGAAACAAATAGTAAATGTGTTCTGGCAGAGCCCTTTACAGACCACATAAATTATAAAGGATGGAAGTTAACCTCTTACTGGTTTAAATCAGGGCATCCTTATAACAGCAGTCTCAGTAGCTGTAGTTTGCACATACTGCAGTATGTGAGTATTGAGGGATCAGATTCAGGTCCCCAGAGTGCGGTTCCAGCTGTGTCTGGGTCAGGTTAAGTTGGGATGACTCTCTCGGGGATAAACTGTGACAAAACATGACTCACACACTCATGTGCATCTTTGTGTGTTTGTGCTTTGCTGCACCTTGCTGTCGTAATCGGAGGTGTTGACGCAGGCTCTGAGGACGTGGAGCAGCGAGTCGACCAGACCTTCACAGCACCGCAGCTGACTCCTCGCCTCTTCCCCTGCTGAGCTCAGGTTTCTGACACACACACACACACACACACACACACACAAAAGGAAACACACATTAATTCAGACTCAGGTGCAGTGTGTGGATTCCCCCACTGGGTGGCTTCAAACCTGCCTGGATACAGTAAAGAAGGGAGCTGATCCTCCAATAGGAACCTCCAGCTGCTGCTAATGGAAAGCTGCCATGAGAAGACTGCACAACAGCAGCAAAGAAATCCCACAATGCATTTCCATACCATCAACCTACAGCCTCACACCAGTCTAAGTGAAGCAAAGTGCCCGAGGCTCGCGTGCACGCGCTGCTTCCCCACAGCACTTCAAAGCTGTCGTGTTTGAGACACGTCGTGCAGTTTTCTGCTTCAGGGAGCACACCTGGACTGGAAGTCTCCACTCAGCAGTTTTGAAGTTTTATGTTTGGTAAATAAATCTACAACTAAGGGAAGTATTGCATCCTTAAGACCCGACTCTTGGTGTTACCTTACAAGTACGGTTTCTCCCCTACTAACAACGGAGACACACAAGAGGTAGATAAAAGATTTAAGCACTCATGAAACAGATCACATACTGAAAAGAGTCTTAATGCATCAGGAGATTCATGTTTTACTTGCACTGTTGCTTTACATAAAATTACAGTGCTTCAGAATTTGGTGAAAAAAGTTGGATTACAATGTGATGCACTGAGTAGCTTCTTATTTCTTCAACAGCCACGTCTGGTCATGGAAAAAGTGTTAGTGCGCGTCGTAAAGCTCAAATTATTGAGAAAGCAGCTGAAACGACTGTTACTAAAGTCCGGAAGGAGTGAGGCGACCCTTCATGTCTGAGGACAAAATGAGGTCAGGAAAAAGTTCTCAGTGAAATCAAGAGGAACATTTCAATGCGCACAATTAAAAAGAGAACTCAAGAGTTTGGAATTGAACAGCCCTGTAGCCTTAAAAACTAAATATCGGCGAGGCTAATCGGAAAAAAGAAAATGTCAGCCTGCTTGGGAGTAGAGGCTGGACTCTGGAAAAAGGTCATGTGGTCTGACGAGTGCAGATTTACTCTGTTCCAGAGTGATGGGTGCACCGGGGTAAAAGGAGAGGCGGATAAAGTGATGCATCCGCCTACAGCACAAGCCTGTGGGGGCGGTGCTATGATTTGGAGTTGGCTCGACCTCAGAAGATGAGGTCAGCTGATTACCTGAACACACCGAACAACCAGGATGTTTCTTTCCATGACGGCATGGGCATGTTCCGACATGTCAATCGCAGGATTCATCACCCTCAAAAGAAAAGAACGGTTGGAAGTATTAATCGCTATCGCTGGACTACTTTAATGTTCAAGAAATCATCAGCAGCAATCCGGTCGTTAAGTCATGACGTGACGAATCCTACTTCCGGGCCTAAAGTAGTCTACATTTAATATGGCTTTTGTGTTGTTAACATGTTTAATGTATTTTCTTCTATTTAATCTCAAAAAGCTCCTAAAACAGTCAGTGATCACTGTTGACCTCCCTCGGCTTTTATTACCGCTAATCATTTATTTAAGCTCAGTTTTTAAAAC